AACTAAGGACTCTCGGCAGCTGGGAATTTTCTCAAAAAGATGACGTTTGAAGATCCAAAATGTGAAGAAGAAAATTGTTAGAAATCTTACATGCATTAATCAAACTGTCCACGACCAGAAGAGAGGTCTGTCTTATGCCGTATATTTGACTAAGGCTAACTTATAGACCAAAGCCTACACAAGAAAGACTTATTGTGTTCTGCGTCGCATGCAATGGTTAAAAGTGCTGTCGGATACACGCCAACAGAAGATGGAAATGGAAATCAGGATAACCAGAAACTTACCAAATTGTTCGCATATCCTTAAAGGAGCATCCCTATAGTCTGTTTCGTACGTCTTGTATAGAAGATCGTTCAAGAATTCCAGTCGTGCGGACAAGGCGTTCATAAGAAGTGGCTCTCAGAGAGACATCATGGACAAAACTGACAGTCTATCTGTTTTCAAGTGCAGGAATTATCGATCTCTCCTGTTCGAATCCCAATTATTGATCCCACGCCTTTGGTTTGGTGGCTACCGACGTGGTCAGGGCTGTTATCTGCACGTGTTCTACACGTGGGTGGCTAAATTTGTCAGCGAAAGTCCACACATTTGGACGTCTAATGAAGAGGTCTGTAATGTTTAAAATAGCACACATTTGTTCCTCCGAAATCTCGCAGATGTTGTAATGTCGCATGTTTCATGTAATGTACAGCAATTTTTAATTCACAGCTACAAGATTATTAGAAGATTCTTATAGTAGTATTTAAGAGATTGAAATATATTGCATGCATTTGGCTGCCATGACATAGAGTGAAACCTTTCAACAGCGTACATTCTGTGGCAGAATGCTATAACCTGAGAATTGAAGCGAATGTGTACACCTCCAACGCTTTGCAGGCGAGCTGCCGATAGAGCTTCAGAAAGTATAACCTTGCACTGTGCAAAATCAACCTGATAGCTACAAGAAGATGCCGAGCAAAAGGAAAATAACCACAAAGTGAACAACCCTGGGTAATACATATTCTGTAAAGCCCCAATACGCAAATATGAATGCCAAGCTTTAAATGCCTTGTCACCGGGTAACACACTAACAGATAAATGAGGATGCATCTTCTGGTTTCCTGTGGTCCTCAGTTCGTGGAAGCCATGATTTAGGAGTATATGTCAGGATGCCTATTGGCATTTGCTCTGTTTATGGCTACCAAGATCAGGCAAGCCCTTCAACTTCTGCGAAATCATGGCAAGAAGGGGTGTCGACGTCATCTGTACGAGGTAGGGTCCGGCGTAAAAGACTGAAAATATATTCAGCAGATTTGATTACTCTCTGTTCGTCAGGTCTAATATGGTGATTCATACTCTAGTGGAAGCTGAGTGTGTGATAGATGCATGATCTGGGAAGTGTTCACTTATCTTATACCGTCTTCCGCAATAAGGATCGATGTTTTTGGATGAACCGATAGAGGTGATCTAAGTTACCGGTCTTCCAGCAAGTGTCTGACTTTCTTAGATAGTGAACATCCGAACACCCTTGCTTAACAATGTCGCGCCTGCTCAGTGGCCGTTTGAGACAAGCATGCGGCTGACGGCAGAGATACCCCAAGAATTGTAATGTAGTGACTATCGCAAAAGAGTTGTTGAGGCTACGCCGGTGAACGCTTACGACTGCGATCTTCCAGGCCCGGTTCATTAGGAGATGATAGAGAAGTCTTGGAGAACCAGAGTAGGAGAAGGTTA